GATTTTTCATGCTTCTCGATCCAGAAAAACCTCATGTCTTTACAATTTTTCAGTATTTTATAAATTAACTATAATTTACTGTTATTCCAAAATTAAAATATAAATCTATTTTAATTTAACTAACATTTTTACTAACATTCATTTTAACTAACATTCATTTCAAGCTCATTCCTCAGACCCAAGGAGATCCAGAAGTTAGTAAAAATTTAAGAAGTTTGTATTTCAGTGAGCGTTCAATATTTCGTAACGCAATGACTGCATGAAATTATGAGACATGTTTTAAGAAATTTCATTATATAAATTTTTAATTAGAATTAGGAATGTTTAATCTCGAGTAGAGCACCAAATAAGTAAATATGGACAATTAATGATCAGTGAAGTTGACATCATTATCCAGTATTGTCCTTCAATGCTACTAATCGAAAGTTTCCCGCTGCGAACCTCTATAGCTGTACATTGTTAAATTCCCTGAAATAGAAAATTTTAGATGTTTGCTTACTTTTGGTCCTTTGCACTTATTACCTAATACGAAAAACTTGTTTTGTGGAATTGTACGATTTTAGTCCAAAATGCAGCATTGATAAAACCCCGAATATGCCCGGTTATAGGACTCATCTGTACTAAGTTCCTAGCTGGTTAGAATAGATTTTATATTCCAATAGACTGCTGTAAAGACTCATATTTTGGCCATCAAGATTAGTGTCATTTTTTTTCCTTAAGGAAAATATTATACGAATTTCAATCGTACATCTCAGCTTCAGAGCTATCGGCATGGGATTGTAACATAACTTATGAAAAACCATTCCTGAAACTCTAGTCTTTCACAAAGTCTGATTAAAAGAGTTTTGAAGATAATTGGCGTTATGATCTTTTTTAGGCAATGTTTTGCTGTTGCTTGATATTAATAAATAAGGTGTAGGGTTTATATTTATTTTAACGAACATTTATTTTAAGTTTAAACTATCTTTCCTGTCAAGGCTTACTTTCCCCTGGAACTGCCAATGCCAGAGTATGTAAATTTTAGTAGAACGCGCAAGGATTCAAATTATCAGCGGAAGTATTCTGAGTTAAATAGAAAGGAAACGAGTTCGAGATGTGCTGTTCTTACTTCACGAGCGCGGAGGTTGTTAGCCAGAAATTGAAGAACCCCGCGTTTCGCGGCCCTGTGTGCTTGCCTCGGAAATGGTTAATCGTTCAACGTGATATTCAAAGTTTGCTGAATTAGCAGCGGTATGGTATAAACGCGGTGAGGTTAGTTACTTTTTAGAGAGCCTCGTAGTTAGAAGTCTTATTATTTCTTTTCAGGTTCTTATTTTTATTTTACCGCCGCGTCGGCGGCGTAGTTTGTGAGCGTCAAGAGCACGCAATTGTAATTTCTTAAGTTGAATAAAAAGGGACTTAAACCCTTAGCAGACTCTGTCTATTTTCCAGTTTTCAACAGTCACCTCTTGGTTGCGTGCAGGTTGGAGGCGCGCAACTCTACAAAGGAATTAATTAGTTTGTTAAATAAGTTATAATTAAAATTTTATTTCAATAAAATAAATTGGATCGCTACGAATCTAAGTGAAACTTTGTGCATACTTGTGAAGTTGGCGAATATTTGGTTAACAGTCAAAACATTAAACCTATTTATTTAATGGAATAAAACTCCCCCTCTAAACACCGTACAGCTCTCATCCGCTCCAAATCCCGGTAAGCCATAGATTCAACAAAATGATGTTAGGTATATCTCGACAGATGCCGTGACCAGTTATGTGAGTTTTGTTGTTGTTGTTGTTGTTCTCATAATGTTGCAATTAATCTCACTTGACTGACAGCATCATCGGAACGAGTCCACGAATTTTATCGTGATGAGATGCGCAGTATTGCGTCTGTCTCTTTGGTTCTGATAAATTATAAGATTAATCTACTTGTAACAGTAACTCCAACTGAAATTAAAAATGTCCCACTGTATTCACAATTGGTAAATTTGGGGACTACGACAGATAAGCATTCCTCGTATTCTCTAGAAATCCTTCATAAACCTTCTTTGCAGTGTGATGCACATTATTATCATGTTTAAAAAACGTTGTCTCCACCATTTGCCAAAAAGAAGTGTACTAATTCAGCGGCGATGTTTATATAGTGATGACATCTTGGTGTACGAGTACATTAGGGAGATCGCTTCCTCGTATTCGACTTTTAGAGGAAATGAAACTAAGTAATCTCCAAAAAATGTTTCAGAAGTTTCTTACTCCTTCCTCTCGCCTTGGCGTACAGTGCATCCGGATTCACAGTATAGCTACATGCAAAAGGATGTATTAGAAAATGCCGCCCTCCAGGTTGGTCGTTCTCATAATGAAACAATAAAAAGAGCGTATTTATCTGATTGATTCTTGAGATTCTAGTCTAGCACCCTATTCCGGTAGTCCAGTACCAATTATTGCATGCTTACTGCATGCGTTTACAATGATGGGTTATGAACAGAAGGAAACGCATGGTTTTGCGGTTTTGAAGGCTTACATCCTAAAGAATATTATGGGCCTTGTTCCCGAAAATATGCAGCCCATCATCACAATTAAATTTAAGGGAGTATTAATCATAGTATCGGCCATGTTGTGCATGCAAAACAAGACATCCTGTTAGAATTTGCCATAATAAGGCTTTACCAGCCCGTGCCTTGTGAACATTTCAAAAGGTCACTTGTTTTAGGCCATCTTTGTGAAGCGCTAAATGCTGTATAACATGAAAATTTGGGACTTCAAAAAGATGGTCCGATATAAGTGGCTCTTTAAACTAGTTTACTTGCATTGTTGTTTCAAAAATGTTTTGCCATTATCAAAAACGGATAAATTCTTTCCTAATTCCATGTCTAGCGAAATGAAATACTGGTGTTTTATTATTATGTTTGTTTGTTATATTACTTTTTCAAACGCCTACATTTCCATAACATAAAGATGAGTTTTTATGTTTTATCTGGACGGACTATTATGTTTATTATCATAAATATTTAATAATTATTATAATCTTTGTTAACTTCTAAACAGATCGGCTAGAACTCGAATGCTTAGTACGTAGACAAATTTGACTCAATTGCTGGAATTACTTCCTTTTCCTATTTTTACTTCTTAAATGTTCCCTTCGCTTACTTTCATTGCTTTTGGAATTATTCCCTACGCTGCAAGTGAACGATGCTGCACTTCCATTATGACTCATCAGTGTTAATTTTATTGTTGCGCATAATTCATTTAAAGTGTATTGTCAAGAGACTTTGCTCTCGAGTTCAATAAAAGTGTATTTTCAAGTGGCGTTGAAGATTCTGAATGATAAAATTTATTCTGCAGCAAAGAATGCAAAACTGGATTCTGCTTCTCGGAGGACTTTTCATTGATATATCTTGTGATGCTGGAGCTACCTGTTACTCCTATGTATCATTTGAAATACGTATGTCCACCGTTTAAAAGTTCCAGTAATATCAGATGTTTGCTGTTATCAAACTATTCGTTCAGAAAATTACATATGAACCAAGGTGCAATAATATTTTACAAGCAAAATTTTAATGTTTCACAGCTCCCTTTTATTTAAATCCTCATTATTTATTGTCACTTTCAATTCATAAAGGCGATTCAGTCAAATGTATGCAGGGTTCATTTTAATGTTATTTTTTTTTTTTTTACTTTACGACACAACTTCATAATTCCTTACAAATATTTTATGTAAGGGCTGAAAGTAAGTGGAATAATGCTGAAAACGAAGTTATATCTTTGTTATAATATTTTCCCATCGAAAAAAACAATATTTTTACTAAATATCGTTTATACTTCATTGATTTTTATGATATTAACCATTACACTTACCCGTGCCTTGTGTATTACACTTACATATTACAGCTTTGTTTAACTCTTGAAGAGCATTTTCTGTCTCTCGTTATTGTAGAATTCATAGATTGATTGAAAAGTTTGAAGATTGGTTTTATTTTATTAAAAATCAGATGACTCTATGGGCCCCGCATTTTTCTCTTTTTCAAAGTAGAGTCTTTCAACATTTTCATAACATTTTATGAGTAATTTAAAAAGCATGAAACAGAAGTTTCGTGACATTTCTTTTATCAATGCGGTCGAGAAGTTTTCACTTCCTCATATGCAGAGAATCTCTTTGCGCGCAACAGTCTTTTCAGGGTTAGGAATGCAATAAAATCCCCAAAGTCGAGGTTACATGCAAGGTTTTTCTAGCACTGTCTTATCGATTTCAGCTATGCAAAAAGAGTAACACGTAAGCGAGCATTGTCCTGGAACAAAAGCCATTACTCACTGAGAGAGTTTGGCCTTTCCTTCGTTATGGTTGTATAAAGTAACCTTTCATTGTCTGCCCCTGAATTAGCAACACTAACATTCGTAACCGCAGAGCATTGCCTGGCAAAACGTGCTTTGTCGAATACTCGCGTGTTATGTTCTTTGAAATGTCTCCATCACTGAAACACTCCAGTATGTCTAAGTGTTTTACCTTGATATGTATGACGTAATATTTCAAGTGTTTCAACGCTTCCTAAGTTTAACTCAAAATTTGATCACACCTCTGCCATATTTTTGGAGAGCCGTCTTTTTCATTCGTGAAATGTATTAGGTACTTTCGCTTGCTCTGGCAGAATATCAAATGGCATGGCTATCTATCCGCAGCTTTAGGAATTTCATTGTATAACCTCCAGAAAACTTCTGTAAGGGTGCCCCATCTTATTTCATCTTACATCTTACTTACATTTCACTAGTAATCTTATAAGGTATTTTCCCCGCCTTCTTAGCGAGCCTTCGTGGTGTAGTAGTCTGCACGCTCAGGGCGTAATTGAGAGGACCGCGGTTCGATTCCCGGCGAGTGCGTTGCTAATTTTTCATATTGCCTGCCTCCAAAAATACCTAATGTGTCTACAATCTTAAAACTTTTCAATCATCCATTGCACATTGTTACTTTTTCATGACTTATAATAACTTTACTAACTTTTCATGAAACTATTTCTAATTCTGTAGGTATCCCTGAAGACCAAGAAACCAAGAACCGTCCTAAAATACTACTAAACCGTCTCACCGGTTTCGACCACGCAGTTCGTGTGCAATACCGCATCGTTTTGGGAGACGCGGACAGAGTGTTCGATTCCGGCATTCTGTGCCAAATTTCTGACGTCACCGGACGCATTCGTGGCTTTCCCTTAATGTGCAGTGTCTCGGATCTCTTACACCGAGGGATTCTCCGAATATATGTCGAAATGATCTATGCAAATGCAATCAGCGAAGTCCTCATACCTCTCCAGAACAAGGATCCAAGTGACACTACTCCTAACTGCTATGATAGAGAGAAGCATGCTTGGCTGGCAGAGGGGGACATTGAAGGTGAATGCCTTAAACTGAAGCTGTTTTGTTCAGACTTACACCACGTGCCCCGAAATCATCTGCGCTACGTATCATGGAATGCATACGTTGTTCGGAAAGAGAATAGACTTCCCGTTAATGCAAAGGATAATAGTACGATAGTCGTACTGAATGCACCTCATTGGAATTATTATATTCAAGAAGGTGTAGACATGGGTATTGTCATGGAAACGGACATTCCCGTTTCGCTGGTAAGTAACGGTTCCAAAATGTTCATTTACGACATTTTTTGTTATATTACATGACACAAGACATTTCGTGAATTTTTTCCGTCTTCCAAGGAAATATTTTCAATACGAAATGCCCAGTGTTTCTGAAATGGATACACAAATAATTCTGCTGTTCTAGAAATACATAATTAAGAAAAATTAGATTCTGAATCTCTGTAGTCAGCTGGTTAAAAAACGTAGTAAATAACAAAATTAGGCGAGACAGGACCTTTTTGCATATGAAGAAAACGTAAAGCAGCAAATTAAGCAAGATAAGCATTCCTTTCGTTTGACACATGGCTAACTTAGTATATGAGAAGGAGATAAATGTAAAAGACCAGAAGCTGTTAAATCACATGATCACTGCGCAGAGGGAGGCTGTTATGTAAAAATAAATGCGTGTTACTGTACCAAAGTTATAAATAATAAGATCAAGATTAGATACTCGTAGAAACAGCGTGAGCTTCTTCTAACTAGAAGGGGGGGGGACTTTCTGTCATACCGAATGGATGCAGACACCGATCGAAATGAGCTTGCCTTTAGTAATTTTCGTTTGTCGAATTTTAGTAATTTTCGTTTTGTCGAATCAATCGAAATTATTTTCGCCTAACAGTTTTCAAGCTAGCTGACTATTGCTGAGAAATTCTGGAGAAAATCCTTATAGCCAAACTTCTCTATTCACATTTTTTACAAATTGAAGAAGCCTTTAAGAAACAAGGTATTCACACAATGCGTGAGACGATACTGTATGGTTGAGGACATCAACAAGGCCGGGATTCATTACTTTGCCTAAATAGTGGTATACATTCAGAGAGACTACTGGCAGGTAAATCTATAGTATATGGAGCAACACCAAATCTTTTATACCTTTTTATATAATATTAAAAGCTAATAAAAATGAATGACGTTAAATTTCTGAAATTTGTGACTAAAATGTAAGAAATTCTGAAATTCGCTTAATTAATTATTCGATGGCGCATCTATAAATTCGCTTTCAAATTCACTATCCGATCCTTTTTTAAAACCCGTCTCTTCATCTGATGAGTCTTTTTCAAGGTTGTCTTTTATTTTCTCGTAGACTTTAATTTCTCATAGCTATTATATTTCTTTTAAAATTTAACTTACTCTATTTCTAGTTTAGTTTTTCTTGTGTAAAATCTATTAGATTTGAATATTTTACGGCATTCTTTGAAACAAATTGTAGATCTCCGTTTATCCGTCGTCCGTAAAAAAAGGCATAATCCAGAATAAAAAAGAAATATGTCGAATACAGTTCCTCAACTTGGAAAACAAAAGGCTGATAGGCAGTTTGATGCAAGTTAACAGAATAAAAATATTAAAAGAATAGGAAAACCTATTTGTAGTTTGCAAAATAGTGGAAATCATTATCAAACAAAGGCATAAATTTTACTTCTTGTAAACATATATTAGTAACTAAAAATCATGAACATGAGTACAGTTTGAGTATAACTTCAAAGCAGCGACTGTAAATTTTCTGATCCGGTTTTAGACTCTACTTTTGTCACTCGAATTTTACTGTCCTCACTTGACATACTTGCATAATTTTGGAAAGCTGTCAATTGATTTCTTGAAATTGCTGTCACGATTCAAAACCATACACCTCCTTTCTTTATGTTATTCTAGATTCACAAAGTTCTCTTAAATTTTCTGCTCTAAAATACTGCGTGTTTTGGGTTTGAAGTTTTTGACAATAAGTTAATTGTTTGTTCATTTTCTGGCTATCTACCACGTCAAGATTAGGAACTTTAGTTCCTTTATTTTATACCTATGTTAGGATATGCTCATGCTACAGGGTTTGCTTTGTCGGCTGAAAAATAAAAGGTTTCGCTTTAATTCATTCTTCAGCATCGTAGATGACGATGTATAGCTCTTCATATTACAAACTTGCCTTTTCTAGGAAGTTTTGAAGAATTTTTTGGAAATATCTGTTAATCTCTGCAAGAAGCTTTTCCATTGAAAGGCTGAATTTTTCTTTCATTTCTTGCACACTTCTGGATTCTTCTCAAACGTTCGCAAGGCATCTCTTTATTTGTTCCAATTAAACTAATGCCGTTGTCACTATATATGGTTTACTTCTTCGGACCATAGATCTTAATACTCGATTAAAATGTCAGTAGAAGGAAAATTATCAGTAACGAACCACGCTAACCAAGGCATACATAAAGCGGACTATCCAATACTTTTCTCTCCCTTCAAAACTGATGGCCCACACAAGTCTGCTCTTACTACTGCATTCCTAATTCAGGAAATAAAGATGTTTGAATTTTAATAAGATTAACAAAAGACAGCTTGCCATGCCCCATATTTCCGTAAAACTTGTTTAATAGTATTTTGTTCTTTAGAATCCAAAATCATTCTCTTAAGTTAGACCCAGGAAATGAACACAACCATACCTCATTTCTTGTATTATTTGTCTTCCCTGATTCTATGAATGTAACATTGTTATTTTGATATTGGAAGACAAAAGGAATGCACAGCTAAAAGCTTTTGAATTTTCCTCCTAGCAGTTTGAGTTTTAAAATATCAATTTTTGGTTATCAATAAAGGTTTACACTGATAAATTTTTAATTAAATTATTCTTCAAAGAAATTCCTTTACACATATTTCAAAACTAGGCATTCTGCTTATCAAATGCTCGAACACGTAGATTTTATAATTTTCGTTCAGTTGCATTTTTTCTTCCATTGTTGCAAAACCAAAGAAATCAAACTGCAACTTTCAACATATTTCTGAAATGGAGTTGCTTTAAAATTGATCCAAATCTTCAGGTGTCAGTAACAGTCTCAACAATCTTTCTAAACTCCGAATTTCTTACTTCTGCAGGAAAAATATTTTTAGCCATATTTCTGTAGCTACTCGTAATAAAATGGCAACAACAGCGTTGAATGTACAAATCATTTTATCAGCAACAGCGTTGAATGTACAAAAGTTATCAGGTTCAATGTTCCTTCTTACCTTCTTCGGGAACATGCAAGGACCTGACTCGGAACAGAGAGCTTACTAAAGCTATGTTCACTAATTGTGGGAAGTAGACAGGATACACAAGAAGGGTATACAAAACCCTTTATTTTTCTCTATTTACAATGACTTCCGTACTTCGGAATACACAGACCCGCTACTTGGGGTCTAACGTAAAAATATAAAAATAGACTAAACTCTAATTTAACTTTAAAATAATAAACGTGGAAGATTGGCCTTATATTAACAGGAAGCGTATGTAGTACAGAGAACTGTGAACACTACAATACGTTTAAAAATTATCAAGAGGATTAAACCTCTGGCCTGGGAACCGGCAAAAGCAACTGCGTAAATTCTAAGGTAAGCGGCCTGCTTCGACTCACTGCTTCCTCTCTCTCGCTTGGCAAAAAGCCACACTTAAATACTTGGCGTTCGCCAGACAAACTTTGCATAAAAACCTTAACGCTTATAATTCTGGCCGGAAGTAGAAAATAAGAAGTGATAGTAAAGATTTAAAATAAAATAAACGTTAGTAAAACTTAAGATCCTTACAAAGTATCTCTTGAAGCTCCTACAAGCTACATAGCTTTCCTAGACCAGAATGCTAGTCTGAAGTGTGCTTACTTTTCTTATTTCCAAAATTCGAGTTCGCACGAAAGCGATAATTCATATTTTCTTTCAAAATTCAACTAACGACATTTTTCGAATAAGAAAAAAAGTGTTTTCCATATTGTCAGTTTTCAATTTCCTATAACGCACGATATTAAATCCCATTGCGGAATAGTCTCTTCTTTTATTGGAGATACTCAAGACTTCGCTTGAGTCAGTTTAGGAAACTTGTACATTCTCAAAGTTTCCAGACAATACCTTGCAAAATTTGTTCGTCTTCGTATAATCTTTAGCAGGTCATCTCAGGAAACTAGAACACAAGGTTAATTCGCACAAGCGAATTAACTTGCAAAAGACATAGCAAAAACATAGGCTTGCGCAAAAGACATAGGCTTGCGTCATTTATGGAGATCTCTTAAAACGCGAGCATGAGCTGGCTATTTTTTTCAAGATTTCATCTTGTTCTTTTCATTTACCAAGTTTCTTTTGCGTTCTTTCAATTCAGCATCCAGTATTGCAAATTATCTTTTTCCATTATTTTCGTGAATTCGATACAGTCATCTTCAATACGTCAGTGCACTCCCAAAATTGTTTCAACTATATCTTTATCTTCTATATGTTGTAGGATGCATTTTAATTTTCTATTCTGTTACTTTAGGTTAAATGACTTTTCTATCAAGCCTCATTTCATTTCACCGCCAGAATGCACATTTCCAGCACGTTTTCAAATTAGGTAGAATGAAGGAAATATTTAAAGGAAGGTTTGGGAGGTTGAAATCAGAGCATGTTCTGCCTGCTTGAAGGCCACGTTTCTAACATTGATTCTCTAGCTATTAGAATTCTATGGCGTTGAATTAGTCTTGCTATTACGCTTGTTTACGCCGACTTCGATCAGAGACAGCTTATGCGGAAGTTAAACTGTGAAGCCGTTAGGCAATACTTCATGAATTTTAAGTTTATCCATTACCTTTTGATTTAAACCAAAAGTGCATACTGTTAAATTTTATTTAAGTTAATAAAGAGTTTTATACACTCTTCTAATTATGTAGTACTTTAAAAGCCTTAGTGATAATTCACTAAACAGTCTTTAGTGATAATTCACTAAACCTTGCGTTCATTTCATGTTAGCAAAGAATACACGACGTTATAAGGTCTTTAACTTCCTTAGCAATATTAATCTTTAGAGGAAAAAGTGAAACTTCTAACATTCGGTTGTAACTTCGAATAAGTTCATCTAATTGTCTCTAATTCTAATCTGCTGAGGTGCCTCAATTATCGACATTAAATAAATGTTTCAGCTATCTCCTTCGTGATTCTTCTGCAACAGGCATAAGATGCAACAAAGCGACTGTTAACAGGAAAAACACACATTTATTCCAAAAAAACAAGTCACC